AAAAAAAAAAAGGAAAAAAGAAGTAGGAACATGGTGATTCCAACCCTGAGCACATGGTATGATACATAGACAGTGCTTAATAAATATTTCCTAAATGAATATCCTGTAAGATACGGTTTCTCAATCTCAGCACCATTGACATTTTGGACAGGATAACTGTGTTGTGGGGGTTCTGTTTTGTGCAGTGTAAGATGTTGAGCAACATCCTTGGCTTCTACACACTAAATGCTAGTAGCAACCCCTATCCCAGTTATGACAACCCACATGTCTCCATGCATTGCCAAATGTCCCTTGGGTATAGGGAATGTCCCCAGTGGAGAACCACCAGTTAAGATAGAATTAACATAGCCCCTAACCCTCAGAGGCTTAAAATCCAGCAAGGAGGCTATCCCACATTATTTTAGTTTTTGGTTTAATTTCCTATGTCCTGTGACAGAACAAAATACTGAATGTTAGAAGAGCACAGAGAAAGGTCATTGACCCATTATGGCGAATTTGGGGGGAGTTTGCTTCCCATGAGCTCAGGCTCATGCCACTTATGGTCTATCGGATTGACCTTTACAAATGGACCCATTAGGTCAGTCTGAACTCATGATGAGATCTGGCTTTGTTTCTAGCTCTGTGGTTGGGAGTATGTGTTCCAGCTTTTATATTTTAGAAATTGACAACGTGAAAATTAATAAAAGGAAACTACCTTTAGAATGGAGCTGGGAGGCCTGCAGGGGGAGCTCTCCCACTTAGCACTCAATTGCAGACCCAACAGGCAGAGAAGAGATGGACCTTGCCGGTGGATACTGCTTTACCATCCCAGCCGGACGAAGAAAGACTTTCCTTCTCCCCCAGCAACAGCCCAGCCAATGAGAGAGTGTTACAGTTCAGCCAATGAAAAGCCACCATACTTCAAACTCCCAGTTTACTCCAATGGCCTGTTTGTTTACAACAGCCTTCCCAACACCCCCGTTCCTCTGTAAGCCAGCCGTCCTCTGTTTTGTGCCGTGGGGTTTGCCTCTGGTTTTGCCTAGTAGCTTAGCTTTTGCGTCTTGCCCTTCTCTGGTATTCCCAAATAAACTCTTTTTTTTTTTTTTTGCCTTCAGGAGCATGTTCATTGTGTTTGAGATGATACATCAGGTGCTCTCTGAGCCACAAAGGGTAAAAGGAAATCCTCTCATTACAAACTGACAAAGGTAAAAGGTAAAACATTTTTCACAAGAGCGAACCACATACTCAGAAATAGATCTGGGTTTAATACAAATGAGATAATTCCTAGTCATCTACGGCTACTTTTATAACTTCATACAGATAATGAATTAGGCTAAAATGCACTATAATATTTGGTAGACTTCAGGACCAGTATCCTTAGTATATCACAAAATACATTTTGATATCCCAATGAAGCAAGACTTGCAAGTAGGCATTTTAAACATAACTAATCTACAGCGACAAAGTTCTACTCTTGATAGCATTTACCTTTTTGGGGAGTCTCCTAGTCTCCAAAGGATAAAAGCAGAGAGTACAATCAGTGTAACATACACACAGAAGTCCGTATTGTAAAGTCTATAAAGATTTGCAGCACAGTGGGAAGGGGCCTTCTGCTCCTTCATGTTGCATGCAAATTCTGTGAATTATGTGGCGTATCTTTTGGTCCACTGTCTGGCTATCCTGTCATGTTCTGCTCTGTTGGTCAAATACTGAATGGCTATGCTTCCAACCAGAGGATCTGCAGGGTTGCAATCTGTCAAAAGAGAACAAATTGACAGCAAAACCTTTGAAATAGTCAAAGCAGGACTCCAGTTGTCTTTAAGGATGTCCAGACAGATGACTCCCTGACTGTTGATGTTGCAGTGATAGATTCTGGTGCGGAAAGTAACCTTTGGTGGCTTAAATGGATGATTAGATGAAAAAGTGATATCCAGAAAAAACACATCACCTTCATATACAGAACCTGGTGGACCAAGTAGAGTCGTTCTCCATTCATAAATGTTATATCTCCTTTAGGTCCAGCACTGTAGTTAGGAGGAGGATCAAGAGTTATTTCAGCTAGCTCCTTCTGAATTCTTTTAGCACTAGTAGATAACTTAGCAGGGGTTTTGCTGGAGAGTTTGGTGTTTTTCTTCTGCTTGGTGGCAGAAGGTTTTCTTTCTTCCTGTTCTTCAGGCTCTGGAGCGGCTGGGTCTCGCTGGTCCGCATCTGAACTACCACCGCTGGTGTTGGGGCTCTCATCATCGGACCTTTGCCTATCAGTGGACATCTTGGTGAAGTTATTTCTTGGAAAACTCGGCCGCCCGCCCGGCCCGCTCGCGCGTGGCTACGGTGTGGTGGAGGGAGAGAGAAAAAAACCCTTCCTTAAGGAAATGGAGGCAGCTGGGGGG